AGAAATCGCCTCGTGTGGGCAAAGTTAATTAAGAAGCTGATCTATGAGAGAGAAATGGGAGGAGGAAGTCCCGATAGTCTGTGAGAATGACAAAACGTAGGCTGGCAGTGACCTTACTCCCTTTTTATTGTTGATGTGATAACATCTCTGAAATGCCCAGGAGGGTCATCCACGGGCTGCCATTAACTTTGCGCCCAATGTTATTAACCTGACGTTACTGTAAATGTGGCGTTGGGAGGAAACGTCCCGTTTTACACCACTCTTCGGTTGTAAGCTGAGGTCGGACTGGCAGAAAACTCAAAAACATGGAGCCTCGTCTGCAGTGCTTGCGGGCTTTGTCACACGTGGGCTGGTGGAAGGCACTGACAGCTCTTGTTGAGGATCGGGCAGGAGCAGAGAGAGGGAACAGCAGAGGTGGCTTGGCTGAGCGAACCGCCCAGCAGAGCGTGGTTTGGGGGCTGGGCACGGGAGAGCACTTCCAGTGGCATTCTGGGAAAACCACCCGGCTGTGCGGTGCGCGGGAGGGTGGGATGTCGTCAGAAGCGGCCCCGTTGTTGAGCGAGGGGTGCGGTGCCCGGCCCGGTGAGGCTGCACGGGCTCTGGCTCACCGTCCGGCTCCGCCACAGGTGCTGTTGGCAGCAGCCGTCTGCACGAAGGCGGGGAAGGCCATCGTCTCCCGGCAGTTCGTGGAGATGACGCGGACCCGCATCGAGGGGCTGCTGGCGGCCTTCCCCAAGCTGATGAACACCGGGAAGCAGCACACCTTCGTGGAGACGGAGAGCGTGCGGTACGTCTACCAGCCGATGGAGAAGCTCTACATGGTGCTCATCACCACCAAGAACAGCAACATCCTGGAAGACCTGGAAACACTCCGGCTCTTTTCTAGAGTGGTAAGGGTCGAGGTCGCACGCAGGTGGCCTCAGACAGCGCTGTGAGGGAGCGTGCTGGTGGGTGGGTGCTGAGGTGCTGCCTGCCTCCACCTGGCAGTGGCACTTTCTGGACTGTTCCTCTTTCTCCGCTGGAAGTAAGCTTTGACATTTCAGTGGCACTATGAACAACACACAAAAAACCCTCGCTCGTAGCTCAGTTGGTGAGACCAAAAGGGTGATGATGTAAATTTAGCGTCAAATACTCTCTGTATTCTTTCTGCTAAGAATCGTGCTTCTCCTGAAAATGCCGTTACTCTATGTTGTGTGATCTTTACAAGTGTAGTGGTGCTTTATGTGCATTCCAAAGCAGCACGTTTATGCAGCTCTCTTGATTGAAGCAGGAAAGTCACTGGCCCTGCTACATTTAGGTTCCTCACGGCCTGTGTTACAGTTGAGCTAAAAGAATCTACGATTATTGTAGTGTAGAAAAAATGAGGACGGCAAAACTTCATCTTGTTGTTTGTCAGCAATGCAAAATTATAAAGGGCAGGTCAGTGGAGCCGTGGGTCTTGTGGAGGGTCTGGCTGTGTGAAGCCTGGGGATAGGAGAAAGAAAATGTTTGTGCAGCGCCGCATGTGGATACTCCTTTTAAATGTTTTCCCCTGACTAGATCCCTGAATACTGTCGGGCTCTGGAGGAGAATGAGATCTCCGAGCACTGCTTCGACCTCATTTTTGCCTTTGATGAAATCGTTGCCCTGGGCTACCGTGAGAACGTCAACCTGGCACAGATCCGGACGTTCACGGAGATGGACTCGCACGAGGAGAAGGTGTTCCGAGCGGTGCGGGAGGTGAGCGGGGCCGGGCAGGGCCGGGCCGGGCACCCCCTCTGGGAAACGCGGCCTTTCGGTGCGGAGGTGTCACTGCGCTCTCACAGGGGTTACACAGTTAGTAAGCTTTCCTGTAAGCTAAGCACCCATCTCTTGTTTTGTTTTTCCTTCACCAAGGACTTGTGGGAAAATGGACTTAGTTCCTGTGCAGGGCGGGGGTGCGGTTCCAAAGCTCTGACAGCCTCTTGTCCTTTGCTCCAGACTCAGGAACGCGAGGCGAAAGCTGAGATGCGCCGCAAGGCGAAGGAGCTGCAGCAGGCCAGGAGGGACGCGGAGAGGCAGGGCAAGAAGGCGCCCGGTTTTGGTGGCTTTGGCAGCTCAGCTGTGTCTGGGGGCACGACAGCGGCGATGATCACAGAGACCATCATTGAAACAGAGAAGCCCAAAGTGGCACCGGCGCCTGCCAGGTAGGTGGACAGCCAGGGGCATCCCATCCTCTCTTGGGAGGCTTTGATGGCCAACGAGCTTCTCATTTTCTGTGAGAAAAAAAGATCCCAGCTACTGGTTATACACAGAACACAGTCTAACCTCTTAATGCCCTACGTTTAAGATGATCAGTTTCACATGCTTTCTGCCCCAAAAAGGGCTGTGGAGCTGCATGCTGTATTGTTGAGACAGGCAATTTAGAACGCTTGGAGGTGACAGAGGAAGGTGGAATCTGTTCCCATGAGCTGACCTGGAGAGTCTTTCCCCTTGTGTTTAGGCCTTCAGGTCCCAGTAAAGCCTTGAAACTCGGCGCAAAGGGCAAGGAGGTGGACAACTTTGTGGACAAGCTGAAATCAGAAGGAGAGAACATCATGACTTCTGTAGGCAAGCGCTCTTCAGAGGCAGCCAAAGTTCTTGCTCCCCCTGTTAACATGGAGAGGTGGGTACTGCCCTCGCGTCGGAAGCGGTCTCCTTGCCGTTCTCCCTGCAGCCCCCCTGTGGCTCCCTGAGCTAGCCCCTGTTCCAGAGGAGGCTTTCCCTGCTGTCATGCCCCGCTCAGCTTGCCTGCTGTCTGTTGTAAAAGATGGTGGGCAAAATCTTGGAAAGCTCCGTGGCCAAAAAGCAGACGGCTCCTTGGGTTAGGAATGCCCTGAATTGAAATGGGATGTGCATCCACTAGTTAGCTGAGGCTGGGTACTTCGCTGTGCCTTTTCCCCTGAAAATTGCTGCCGTTTTTCCTGTACCCCAGACACAGAGTTCCTGCCTTAGCGTGGCTTCGGCCAGAAACGTTCCCGGTCCGTTTCACACGCAGCAGTTGGGAACCGTTCTGGCC